TATATATATATGAAATAACAATACATTACATGTAAATGTACAAATGTAATATATCAGAAATTACAGTTATATGAATGAAATGGTATTTCAGAATATTTCTCGTTGATTTTAATGTTCTCATATATTTTGCAAATGTTAGAAAAATCTTAATATACATAAATTAGAACTTAACATATACACGCACACATACATACATATATATGAAATTGATTTTATAGAATCTTGTCAAAAATTATGTATATTAGAATGTAATACCTCTTGTTAATATAATCATACAAAAAATTGAAGAACATCATATGGAATGCCGTTGAATTCTCAATAGATGTAACTGGAAAAAACTTTTCAAGAATTTTTCTGTGTAGTTCTTTTAAGTAGGTACATATGTATAATTGATATAAACTTTCCTCTCCATTTTTTTCCTTTTATGTAAAAAATGTTGACGGAATTGATTTTCCTGAAATTTGATTTTTCTCGAAGAACGAAAAGTGTTATGGTTTTATTAGTGTATGTTAAATGGATGTACAACAGTAGCTGATTTTCTTTAAATCTCATATTTTCCCTATCCGATGTACCGACCAAGAACGAAACAACTTTTTCGCCGACTTATTCTTAAGCTCCCTTCCGTGAGCAATTTGTACTTCCAATGAAGCGCCATTATTCAGCGCCAACCACGTGTGAATCTCATCGCTAGCTGCGGACACTCCTACAAGTTTGAACACGATGTAATTACATCATAATTAAAACTAATTACATAAAAAGGTTTATAGAGAGAAAATTTCATATATTTACATATATATATATTATATAATATGAATTATCTGTTATATAGTATATATGCTATTAAATTACATTTTAATATGTAATTAAGTATATATCTTATGTTAAAAAAGATTAAAAGTATGATACCTAGCAATTCGTGTAAAGTTATACGCCGACTGGCCAGCAATTCTTTGCTAGCACTTCTAATCTCAAATATCAACAAAGCTTGCCTTGGTACGCCGTCGCCGTCTATATGGAAATCTATACTGAACTGAGGATTAGGCATAGCCGGCAGTAGCCGCGATTTTGCGATGGTCTTCCCGCCATTAGGTGACACGATCTTATCCGGACTGGCGCACCTAGAGATTTTCAGTTTGATCATCTGCGCGAATTTTCATCAACATTAAATACACTTACGTTTGAAGCTTTACTCGACAGTATAATTGGGCAATGTGCGCTACATGGAGACCTTGCGCCTGAAGAACCTTTCCTTCCACCCCGGAATACTTCTCTCTAGTGCCATTGACAATTTTTAAATCTGAAAATTGTTTGATTTTTTAAATATTTCGTATTTTGAAATCTAGAATTGAAGAAAATTTTATTTTATTTTATTTTTTAGCATTTGTATTTTATATTTTATACTTTAATTTTAAGTTTTCAAAATGCTAATTATATATTTTTTTATAAGAGGACTTTTATTACTAATATATTTCTATTTTATCTGATCAGCTTTTACTTTTTCAGTTCAAATCAACGAGTAACAAAAAATCTATGGTAAAAATATCTGCATTAAAATTACTTAAAGATATCACATAATGATGTGATATTTAATATTATCTACTGACCATTTGGTCTTAATCTCAAGCGTGGACTGGGCTGCCTTATTCTGCCCAGCATATCTGGTTGCGACACTGCGTGCGCCAGACCGGATTCTGAAAGGAGTTCCGTGGCGTCGGCCTCTCCGCCACCTCGGGGTTCCAAACTCAATGTGATGCCCTTGCTATCGTTTTTATCTTCTATAGTCACTTCCGAACGGAATCTACGAAGTTTTAAACCTCTCTTCACCTACAATTACACAAAATATCTTGAACTGAGATTTCTACCATGATTATTCGATCGCGTTTACCTTCTGTTTCATCATGCGAAAGCTGTTATACTGTGGTAACTTTTTGCCGAAATTTTGTTCGGGGCTGGGCGTCAAACTGTGATGAGAGGAACGTCTCTCTGCGATCACTTTGGTAGTATCGGCCTCGTCGACGGAAACAGCGATGGATTCCGCGATAACTTTTGGAATCCAGAAACTCGACATTCCGTTTATTTCGTTGGACTCCTTACTGGTGATACTAGTCTTATCTACAAAAGAGACATCAAAATTTTATAAATAAACTATATTTAGTAACTATATACATATTTAATGAAATATTATTATATGACATTGATCGAAAAATCACGTGGATATTACCGGATTGATTGGATGTAGTCGGCTTTAAAAGAGTGACAGTGCGTGGTGGAGGCGGTGGTGGTATGACTGGGTCCAAGTGCAGACGTATTTTAGACTTCTCCATGGAAGGCCTTCGTACAATACTCGATAAAGAGTCAGGCTCGGTATTTAAACGAGAAGAATTGTCGCTGATATTGCTGGTTGCATACGTACTTTGTGTCTAGATTGAATAGATCACGATTTTAACGAGAATAAAAGAGCAAAGTAACAAGCTAAAAATATAATATCATTGTATAATAGGACGTTACTCTTGCATATGACCGCATTACCTCACATTCTTCCGATAAGACTTTAATTTTCAGCTCTATAGATCCCGTTTTGGTTCCCTTGAGCGAGAACCAATGAGACTGATCGCTGTTTGACAGCTTTCTGATATCGTCGAGAGTCAATGATACTTTCCCAAGATAGTCCTTCATGCCGAAAGTATCATGATCCCATAATACCTAACATCGATTAAAAAGATAATCTCTTTATTCTTCCAATGATAATCTTAGCGTATGAAAATAATAAATTTATAAAATTACGATATCTAAAGCTTCCCCGGTCTTCGGCAAACCCATGATGGAACTCTCGTCCCAGCAAGGATTCAGCGTCTTCTTTTTTATGCTACTCTTGTACTTTGTCTCGTTGTTTAGTTTTAGTTCGCAGAAAGGATCGCTGAAACCATTTAGGTCCTTCGCAACAAGATCCTTCGCACGCAATAGTGTCACTTCCATTAAACCACTTCCGGTGGATAGTAAACTCGATATATCGGAGGAAGCGGGATCAACGTCCTTATGTGTTAATAGTAATTTCTGAAAATGTTTTTAAAAATTTAAATGAATGTTTTTGAACATTTATTTTCTGGAAAATACAAGATTTCTAGTAAATTTACAGCCTGTTGCATCCATGGCAGACTGTTTCGTTTGATTTTTGGTTCGTCGTCCAGCATGATCGGAACTATGCTACTTCTGCGACTGCTAACCGCTTGTTGTATGCTTTTGACAGGATAAAAAAGAACGGAGACCGTCATGGAAGAAGCCATGTTGGAGCCACTGAGCGTAAGTTCTTTTCTAACGATCCATGTCATATCCTTTAATAGAACGTTATTTTTCAATGATATACATGCAATACATAATAACAACGGCGCTATAAATTGAAGAGTTCAATGCAAGAATAAAATGTCTTTTTTATAAATTGATATCATATTTAAATTGGTCCCCACAAACTATAGTCTTATTTTAGCTTAATGCGCTGAATCATTTAGTTTGTTAAAAAGAAACTATATAGATTACCTGAGACAGAGATAGCATTGCTAATCCAAGCATGTCCGTGTCCATCGATTTCGCTATATTCCATGAATAAATGACAAAGCTCAACGATACTTGAGTGTAATCCTGAACCAAAAATTGTGCTCTGCAGTCCCAAATCGGCGACGTGGTCGAACGAATATAATGCGTCGTTTTGACCTAAAAACCCATAGAACTTTTATTAATGATTCACATATAGATATAACTTCAAACATTGTAAAAATATATATTTGATAGATAAATTGAATAAATTACCTTTTTCCGATTGTTGAATAACATGCAATAAGGATTACACTGTGCAACATCACTATTGAGATTGTCAGCTGAATGAATGCAAACCACTAATACTCCTGAAAATTACAATACATTAAAAATAAAATCTCTCATTCGTCATTATTACATAAAAAAACATTATTAAAAAATACATCCAAAACCTTTACGAGTTTTTACGGAAAAGCGAAAATAAAATATAAGGTGTATTTGAAAGTTTGAAAACTTTGCTCATGAAAAATCTCGGTAAAATAATCAAGCATACACATTTAGTTAAACAGCGCGTTAAATCAAAAAATGTTGCATAATCATGCTCAAACTCGCATTCGTCACTCGATATCTCAATAAGATTTACCTGCTTTGTGCGCTTTGTGGCAAAAGTCTAGCGGCGC